CCTTTTATTTGTTTTATATTATGCTAATTAATATTGGTTATTAGTTGAATTTGTTTGCTTGTTAATCTTTATTGTATGAGTTTTGTGTAGAATAACAATAGCAGTGTGGTGGTAATGTGTATTGTTATTGGAGCAGTTGCGGTGGTGTGATTTGCTTGGAACGTGCGATTTGATGAGAAGAAATTTTAATGAGACTGAATTCATTTGTTGATTGATGTATTTTGTAGACGCATTCATATCGATAGTGAATTAATAATCTTATAATATGGATTATTTTAGTTGTTATGTTGTTATATTTTTCATATCGGCGTTGTTTTAGTGGAGCCGTGATAGCGATGGCATGATTAGAATGCACAAATCACAATGATAACGTTCTGAACAGCAATGACGAGTTTAATTAGTGTAGGATTAGATTGATGACGTGATATAACGATGACATTGATATAACGGATATAAATCCCCAAGATAATCACGATTGAGATTAAAGGTGTGATAAAACAGACATACAGCAAACAAATTCGTGACATAGTCTTTAAAAGACTCTTTTGGACAACTTTTGTGTATCATTTGCTTTGATAGTTTCCACCGAGTGTATGACGTGGTTTTAATTCGTTTTGAAGTTTTAATTCGTCGTTAAAATAATTGTTTATTTATTTATTGAATAGTATTAAGAATTAATATAATAATGATTATTAGTTGCTTGTTTTTATTAGGGATTAGATTGTATATTATACGATTAGACTGATAATAAAGACAGGTAGTCTTTGATAAGAGCAGTGATAATTTTATTTTTGTTGTTAGTTGTTTTTTACTGCTATTTGTACTTTGTTTGATATTGTTGACATTTGTAAGCTGATAAAGATGTGTGTTAATGAATATGTGAAAAGCGTCTAGCATAGCAACATTGGATGGTTTATTTTGTTTTGTTCGATCGGTGGCTGCTTGAGCGATGCTTTATTGCTGGTTAATGCTAACAGTAGTGATAATAATTAATAATAATAAAAGTATGAAGACAATGCTGATGAACTGGTTTCGATAATGTCACTGACTGTGAGTCTGTCAATCAAATTTCGTCATTTCTTCGCGGAGAACATCGATTCACTTTCTCAGTGCACTCAGCCTTACTCAAAAAATGTTCACACGAAATTTCAAATTTCTCACGCGTTAACATATGAAGTTACATAGCACATCTCATACAGCGATTATGCTGCAGTTAAATGATATCAAATGCTGCATTCATTCCGTGTGATTACTGCACACTTAGTTTTGAATTATACAGCAATATCCTGATTTTTATTGTTAGATAGAACATTACGATGGAATGAGCGGCTTTCACTGATGATTTATTCGTTTTGAGATGAGTTATTTAATCACTTATTGTTAGACGGATAATAATTTTGATTTTTTGTTATTGTTATTATCATTATTATTGTTATTATTATTAGTATTGCTATTATTATTATTATTATTATATTGTTACCATTGTTATTGTCATTGTTGTTGCTACCGGTATGAAATGGTAAGTTCTCCGACGAATTGTAAGCGCAAACTCTTCCCATCTATCCATCGATTCATTCCCGGGCAGAAGATTTTCCCGCTTAGTTGGGCAAATGGCATGCAATTGATCGATCTGCATGGCGTCCAATCGATCGTTGAAACCCTATCATATATATATTTTGTTTCTGTTTAAAGCATGAATATGCTGTTTTGTTACAATTTATTGTTAATGAATGGAATGAATAGTATGAGAATGATAAATGAAATGGAATTTCGTACTTTGATTTGAGGCATTTCAATAAAAAGAAATCTTGCTTGGAATGATGAACAGAAAAGAGAGTGATGCTGATTGACTTGTTTCAGATGATCGCTGTTGTGCAATGATTTTCGGTTTTCGAGAATTATTTCCTCTCGTTATTCATTTACTTATTTTCATCGAAATACACAAGTAAAATAACTATACAAATCAAAAATTGTATCGTTTCGATTTGCATCGCTTTCTGAATGACTGTGGTAATTCTGTTATTATTACTATTATTACTGCTGTTAATATTATTATGATAAAGAACAGTCCGCAAACTTTCGCAAACACCGACATATATTATAATATTGATTTCATTGTTATTATTCATTGAGCATATTGCTATTGTATATAACATACTTATAAGTGAATTGTTGCGATGCAGTAGGCAAATTGATAGCAGAGATAATATAAATAAAAGTGATAAAACATGAGTAAGTGTGATAAATTTAGTGATAAGACGTCAATAAATACGGGGTTTGCGTTTGTTTGCTGTGCATAAGCACTCATATCAGTTCGATAGATTCACCGATTGAACGAAGTATGCTGCTGTTCTCTTGCAGTGGCAATAACTTCTTATGCTAGTCGCCTATATTGCACCATTTGATCTAGTCGATATTGCTGTTATCGTATTGTAATTAGAGTTATTATTATCATTATCAGTGCTGTTTTTGCTATTGCTATTACTGTAATTAGCATTCATTTCTAATTATACGCACAAAACCGGTTCCTAATTGCGCATGGATCTCGTCCTTAGAATGGCAATCATTATTAAGTTCTGGTTTCAACCATTTCCGTGAAACCATTAGCATAAACGCACTTGTGGTTCAATCAGTTATGTGCCTTATACCAATTGTTATGAGTGTGATGCTGTTTGTGATTGTATCAACTTTTTTTCGGAATTTTTGGTAATTATTGAGTTTTGTCGAAGACTATTTGGTTATCTTGGAGAGCATTCGGCTGTTTGGCTATTTTGTGTTGAATATTCGGCTTATTATGTAAACAAATCAATAATAATGATAATATTCTCTCTTGCAGAATATTCAATTCGTTTAATTGAATTAATTCATTGTGTATCTGTGTTGACTGTCGAACGGACGTGCGATCTGTTGTGAAGGTTTGCAATTGAAGAGCGATTAGAAACATAAATAAATATCAATTGTAACAATGACTGACGAGCACAATGAAGCCACATGCAAAGCCTTAAATGGGACGATATCACCCCGCGAAGCAATGCCTGAGGATGACCCCAATGAGAATGTCAACCCTGAAGGTGTTGTCGAGCCCCGTTGGGGACCAAAACATGCTGGCGCTAAACAGTTAGCATCATTGTATAGCAAAGGTTTGCATTGATCAATTATAAGTTGCTGGATTCTTTTAGTGGTTATCCATGGATTTTTCGAGGAGATTCTCAGTTTCTTCGGGTTGCATCCTCAAAATCACTTGATATAAACATGTACTGTGTACATCCACTGGCATTGACAATGAAACTGTTTAAGAGAAACGACTCCAAGAGTTGATCTGTGTTGTAAGTGGAATAGTATTACTGATAATTATATTCTTATCACTTCTGCGTCATTTCACCATCAGAACACTACCATCAATACTGATCGCAGCCTTTGTTGGTATACTAATGGCAGACTTCCTATCCGGTTTAGTGCACTGGGCTGCAGATTCATGGGGTACGATTGATAGTTTCATTGGGAAGGTGCGATTTTCTTTGATTTGCTTTACCTTTCACATGATCTCGTCAATTCCTCACTACAGTCGAAGAAATACTACTGTGTGAAAACCCAGTTTACTGGATTTTTCAACTCCAAAAACATTTTACAATTAATGTCATTTTGAAATTTTCTATTCCGCATTAAAATTTCGCTGGAAATCCATTTGTTGCATTCTAAAATTATGCAAAATAAACTGAAATTTTTCCGAATAAACTTTTTGAAAATCTACGTGCAAGGGACAAAGCGTCCGAGTTTCACTTTTCTGAGATGTTTTAGAGCTTTAAAACAAAAAGAAGTTGAGTATTTTTGCAGAATTTTATTCGTTCGTTCCGCGAACATCACGTCGACCCGACCGCCATAACAAGACACGACTTGATCGAATGTAACGGTGATAATTTCATGTTGATCATCCCAAAACTATTGCATATGCTTTATCAGCATTTGACGTACGATGAGAAAGAGTTGAACGCTATCATAGTATCACATTGGTTCTATCTGCTCCTCTCCTTCTACGTGGCGCTGACGAATCAGGTAAAGAGATATTTTGGCGTATTTCGAGATGAATTCGGCATTTCTGAGAGCAATAATAATTCACGAACGGTTCAGATTCATAAGTGGTCACACACTTATTTCGGACTCTCACCATTCGTCTACAAACTGCAACAGTTGAATATCATCTTACCGAGACAACACCACCGAATCCATCACGTCTCACCGCATGCATCTGCCTATTGTATAACAACGGGATGGTTGAATAAACCACTGGACGCGATCGGATTCTGGCGTGCTGCTGAAATGCTGATCACTTATACGACGGGCATGAAACCTAGGACTGATGACCTGAAATGGGCAAAGACTAGATGATTTTTGATTTGTAGTGAGTGGTGCTTTGCAATTTTTGATTAATAGTGTGCTGGTGGTGGTGGTACTGTGGGTAATTCATTGAATGGCAATTGGGTGATTACAAGGTGAACTGGACGCAGAAAGTGATGATAGAAGTGATAAAGCTATCGAACAGAATTTACTTCGTGAACAATTATCAATAAATGAAGCGAATAGGTGGTTCTCTGATAATTCAGTTCTATTTGATCGTATTCTTCGTAATAATATTGTGTTTTCATTGTTTGGTATAAATGTTTTCATTACTATTATAATAATATTATCAATATAACATGATCGCTTTTTGTAGATCAAGTTGTTAGTATTATAATTAGTATTGTTGTTATTATTATTTATTTTCAAAATAATGATTTAATTATTATAATGTATGGTGATATTAATGTTATCATGACCATGATCACTGAGTAGTAATTTATACTTGGAAATGAACTTTGCAATTCGTGTATTCATTCTCAAATATTTTGCCCAGTGATTCTCAACCACTGATCTATCTGCTGATCAATTATCATTAACATTACCAGTATTGTTGTATTACCAATATTATGATCGCTGTTATTTCATTTTGTATGTATTCGATTGACGCTATACCTTAACTTTATTCTCATTCGAAAATATTTCACACCAATCTATTAATATATTCATCTGAACAAAGAATATGCACTTTCATGCTTCTGTATTCAAACACACCAACTTTGTTCATCTAAAAGAAGAAATGTGCGATATGCCGAGCGATTAGAAGGTCAATAAAGTATCGAGATATGAAATATAAGTTATGGACAGTCGTAGAATTTCGATTTTTGATAGTTTCTTGTTGACGGGTAACGTTGGCAGGAGGGCACGGAGCTTTGAGAATGCATTGTTGAACGATTCGACACGGATGCTGAAACTGAGCTGGATTTAGGTGCTTATAATAAAGATATAATAACAATGATCATACCATAATAATGATAATAATAAAGATCACACGACAATCGTAAGAATTTTGCAAAATGTAGCGACAATATGAGTGTAATATTGATAAAGGTAACAAATACCGTTCACGAGAAGCATGTAAGTTGCGATATTTGGGTGTAGCACGACGCCGTTTGCGACGTTCAGCCTTACTCAGTTTTTTGACTTCATCCGCTGTTAGCACATGAGTATTCATAGTGATCTCGTCATAGATCAAGCTCGTTTCGGACTGAAACAAACCAGAGGGAGAACGTTGCTTGAAGT